TCTGTCTTATCAGGTAAATTACTGTACACAGTGTATTCATTAATTTTCATTTTCATGTAGTAAAGGCTCTATGCCTTCATAAAGGACGTACTTTTCCTTTGTTTAAGGGTATTTGGGCAGTTTATTCTCTGTTATATTCTCAAGTAAACAATACATACAAGTACAGTACAGTATTTTCTGAGGAAACACTCATACTTATTTTTTTTAACCCAATTCCCGATAACCCGGCATTTTCACAAACTCGGCCATCCTTCGGTCCACATTAGGCCGAGTTTTCGAGGCTCTACTGTATTGGAATTTGTTCTGTAAAATATCACTGTGTATTTATATTTGCTATGCTGACACATTTAAATAATATTTTTGCTAATACTCTTAGTCGTAGGTTTGCTGTACAGGTTTGACATGAACTCTGAATCCCCCTGAAGAGCACTATATCAACGGTGGGCAACCCCCGGCCCGCGGGCCAGCGACGGCCCGCGAGATGTTTAGAAGAAATTATAAATAAATATTTTTCGATGTAATTCGTCTAGTTTAAATTGAATATTATTTTCTGAAGTGTTGCTGCAGCAATGACAGGAAAAAATAAGGGAGTCATTTCTTTATTCAAACAAAAAATGAGAGAACAGAATTTTTTAAAATTATATCTCATCGCATCATCCATCAAGAAAATCTATGTGCAAAAGCTATGCAATTAGAAAATGTAATGTCTGTCGTATCCAACTACATAGTGCTGTTTTTATTGTGTTTAAAGTCACTTAAATTTTACAAATAGGTGAGCCGTTCACAGCCCGGCACACGCATTTGTAAAATCTAAGTGACTCATACAACATGGAATTCATATAAAACGGAATAATCAACAGTGTTATAGGGGGGTCGACTGTAGTAATTAATTTCTTTTTATTTATTTATTTATTTATTTCATATTTGCAGACTAAAAATTTACAGGTCACAAGGTGTCAATTAACTACTATGGCCCGTGGAGGAAACGTAAAATTTATTCTGGCCCATGTTATAAAAAGGTTGCCTACCCTTGCACTATATAACACTGGAGGGCGCTGAAGAGGGGTTAAGAGTTGGCGTTAACTCGAAATGCATATATAGAAGGAAGAATTAAATAAATTATAGTTTGAACGTTCGGATATTTTACTTGCTGAATGAAATACTACACTGTACTGTACCTATAAATATAGGATTATATAGTTCAAATACTTAATACTAAAATAGCCATACCTTTATAATTCTTGTCAACACGAACATTTTTAGTGTAATATATCTGACACAATCCAACTTTATCTTTGTATTTCGTTGTAAGATTTTCAAAAATTTACGATATTAACCATATTATCATAATCTACATTAGAATAAATTTATTCCAATATTGACATGCCCGCCTTAAGTGGGCGAGCAAGGCATGCACCACACGCGGGCGGCAAATCGAGCGATCGGTCACGCAATATTCAAAGTCATTGTCATAATACTCACCCTACTTATAGCATAAGAAATGTCTTCTCATGGAGAAAAAAATCCGACCGGCGCGCAATTACTATATTCTTATTTACAATATCTTTTTACTAATGACTTAATTTCAGCATTTCCGAACACAGCAATAACACTAAGAATATTACTTACATTGTTGGTTTCAGTTGCATTTGGTGAAAGGTCCTTTAAGTTAAAAATAATAAAAAACTATTTAAGATCAACAATGCACCAGCAAAGATTAAGTAATTTAGCTATAGTTTCAATTGAACGTGAAATCTTAGCCAGCTTGGATACTAGAAAATTAATAGCAGATTTCGCAAACATAAAAGCAAGAAGAGTTCAATTTCAATACATAAATATTTATATGGCTTTACGCTTAAGTAAACAAAAATAACTTAGTAATAATAAATAGTTTTTCTTTGTAAAGTATTTCTTTTTTCTCACACTCTTATGAGACAACACTAAAGAGCCTTTCTGGCAAGCTCGGCGTAGGTAGTTGTAGTTAAGCAGAGGGTGGCATAATCGGAATTGCACACGGGCGTTCAAACAGCTAGCGGCGCCCCTGAATATTGATATCGATACTCGTAGGGCATTTGCTGTTAAATTTTCAAGACTATACAGTATACTGTACACGTTTTAAACAATACTGTTGTCTAGTTTTCGATGCTGTGATTAAATAAAGGTTTGTGACAAAAGCATTAAAACTTTACTTAAATTAATAGTTATGTCGTGAAAAAATTAACATTTTACAAAATTCATTCTATTTATTTTTTATTGTTAATTTTTAAATTTATTAGATGAAGATAAAGTTGCTTGAGTAGTGTAATATTTAAACTTCCTTTTACTGTACGCGTCTATTGGTTCTTCTCGAGACGTATTTTAATTTTCCTGATTATGAAGCTCATGTTTAGAGTGGTAAATTGCAGGATAAACGGGTCAATATTGTATTAGTTGAAAAGTATATTTTTTGTGCTACTTTTATTGCCCATGAAAAAAATTCGAGTTGCTTCCGAATTCTATTCCTGGTCCCCTAGAGGCTAATGACAATACATACGATTGAAAAGATAGACAAAACGATTATTTGTGATGAAAATTGTATACTAGGATTTACATTAAACACGTAAACATTATTGAAGAAAGATCCAATATCAAATATACGCGTAAAGTTAATAACAGTCCGGGCATTTTCTTTATGCCATGTGCTGCTGTGATAAATAGCTGTTTAAGATTTTTCTATTGAAAACAAACTTTATAAAAAAAACACACATCTAAATGTATAAAGTCACTTATCTATATATATAAAAATGAATGTGTGTGTGTGTGTGTGTGTGTCCTTCATGCATTACCACACCGTTTATCCGATTGCCGTGAAACTTAGGGAAGTTGTTTAATATACTCCCACAAAGGTTTGTGGCATAGTACGATTGCCATAAAACTTTGGGAAATTTTTTAATACACTCTGGCATAGTACATTTATCCTACAATAGATGGCGCGCGTTTACACGAGCATTTGAACACTGTGTGTCCGATCTATTTCAAATTGTGAAGACCATTTCCCCCCTCCAAAAAATATCTCTATATATGCATTTGTTATTTACGATATTTGTAATAATTTTTGTTTAATCACTTTATTTCAACTTTTTTTTCTTTTTTTTTTTGCTAATTATGTATTCGCTCAAACTTTGTTAAAACCTTAACTGTATCTCGAACAACGACCGAAGTTGTAGGAGGAAATTCGCCTATTTTACCGTTTTAGGGATCCCCTTTTCCAAATTTTAATATCGACTCAAAATAAATTAAAAAGACAAATTACAATAAAACGGTTTATTATTTAACTATCAGAAATTTCACAACACGCCAAGCAAGAGAGGAAAGAGCAATTAAATAATTAAAATTGTAAAGGATTAAAAATATATATATAAAAATGGGGAATATCGCGCTTCTGACAATCGCTGCGAGTGTGTGAGCTAGATTGGGAGAATCCATGCTTCTCACGTGTACAACTGTATGTAACCAGCTCGCGTCGGAAAACATTCTGATTTATTCGTGTACGCACCAGACGGAAAAACAAAAAATATCGTGTATCCACGAGCACTCCAATAAATAAATAGAATTGAAACGACACTTTGAAATATTTTCCCGATGAAAATGAATAATAATAATAAGTTTCAATAAAAATGATAAAATGTAAATTGAATTTTATTATAAGGAGCTTGCTAAAATTTCGTTTTTTTCTGAGATCGCAGCAATGCGCGACGGGTAAGCTAGTACTGTATAGATTTAACTGCTGATAGTTATATTTTAACATCTTTGTTATTCGAAAAAAAAAAAAAACTTAAATCTTCCTATATACAATTTTATTTTTATTATAAAAAATATTCCGGGGGGTATTGTTTCCTGTTGTAAAAACCCAGTAGAAAAAAAAATAATTCTCCGAAACAGTANATTTAATAAATTTTTATTGAAAACATGA